GGTGAAGGTGCCGTCATCGTGGAAAGAAAGATAAAAGATATCATATTCACCAATTTAGACTGCTTGGACCCATGACAAGCGACCCTTGAATATGGTCAAAGACTCGTTGATAGACATTGCACCCAAGATTATATAAAGAAAAGAATTTCTATCCGAAGTGTTCAAGTATAGGGGTTAGTTTTTTGAATACGTTAGAAAATCCGGACGTTGCTGAAGAAATTTCTCCAATTTGTTGATTATCTACAGAATGAAGAATTTATTCAGCAACACATACCGATTATAGGGCATTAGACGCCTGAACTTCGGCATTTCCAGAACGTCCATTGTCCAGTACTCATTCTGCGATATACTTGGATCTCGATCTCGATGTTGTTGACTATATGTCTAACTGGCTCCTCTAATTCTTCGTCGTCGGGAATGTCTTTTAAAAGAGCTTTGAGCAGTTGTCTTGACAGGCATTAAGTCAAAGTCGTCGAATTCACTGTCGAAATCACTGCCGTCGCATATTACATGCCTAGACGCTTGTTTAGATGTTGCTGTAACACTCGAAGTTGATGGATGAGCATCAACTTCAGAAATGAGAGCAGCATCAGCACCAGAAAAAACCTTGTTTATGTTAGCATCAGTAACTTTAATGTTACTAATGTTAGTACGACCAACGTTTGCTTCAGTCAAAACGCTAGGCGTAAGACATTCCGGTCGATCCTCCGGGAGCCGTCTTTAAAAGTTCCTCACTTTATTCCTCCGACAGGACCATCGCCTCCACTTTCTATAATACATCGAAACTCTAAGACAATATATTGACTGTAATTTATATCATGACCTACAATCCCTGAATCTAAATCATTGACAATTTTACTTACGTTACTTTGTTTACTATGACCAAGATTATATGAGTTATTCTGACGAGAGTAGTTATTGTATGGATCACAAAGAATAAAAAATAAGTTCACCACAGTGGTACGTCATCGACATTTGTTCGTCGCACATGGCCACCAGTGGTCTGCACTGTGTCCACCCTTTCGCCGGTAACGCGTAGTGAACCTCCTGGCATCGCATCAATGCCCAATGCTTAGATTTTGGGTCTGAGATCATGAAAAAGGTTACTGTAAAATCAGATTCAAGTAGAGAATGCATTTGGGATTTTGTCGGCCAGATTTAGAGTTTTACGAACTATAATATTATTAGATCCAGAAAAAACTACTACTTTAATTATGACATACGTGCTACTGCATAATTTTCTAAGAAAAACTGGATCGAGCATGATTTACGCTCCACCTCAATACTACGATGGCGACGACTTAACTGGTACACGTATCGATGGACAATGGAGATTAGAAGAGCAGCAATTAACACCACTAGAACAATGTGAATCCCAAGATTCCCAGTCAGATGATGGGAAAGAAATAAGAAAAGAATTCGCTGAATATTTTTCAAATGAAGGGTTATTGGACTGGGCATCTAAATACTATTAAAAGACGTTAAAATAAAACTCACCTGCAACCCTCCATCGACAGTTGAGCTTGGGATATTTTTGCCCTTTAGGAACATGAGTTTTTTATATGCAAACCATTTAATTGATTCATCAGCTCCTGCACCAGATTTAGATTTAGATTCTCGGTTAAATTGACCTACGAGGGATCGAATCTTTTTTTCAATTACTTTTTTATCCACATTAAATTCACTGGCAATTTCCATCCAAGCATCGTGTTTCTTATTTCGGTCTTTGTAGTCCTCTGATATCGTGTTCCAAAGTAGTTCTCTTGCTTGAAACATTTCAATCAATTTGTAAACATTTTCGTTACTCCAGGTATAAACTGACATATTTTTATTGCTTGGCGCACGCGCAACCACTAATCTATCTATTCGCACGTCGACGCACGCTGAATTAAACAACGGGACTGACAGACACGGCACGCGACCGACCCCACCCGCACCCCCGACTCACCGCATACCCCGCCGTCACCTGTATAAAATGTTTACAAACAAAAGATAACACATGTTTTATTCTGTTGAACAATTTTGTTCAAAAATGTTAATTAACGTTTACTAACATGAAAACATTTTTTGACTTTTGTGATTAAATGTTTGCTAACAAATGTTTACTGACGTTACTAAACATTCTATAACAGCTAAATGGCGGATGGTTATGATTGTTTTTTTTTTTTTTGTTTAAAATGTATTTAAATAACTTCGTTTTAATCAAAATATCTCAGAAAAATGAGAAACGATTGGTTACGTTATGTTCCTAGATAAATAATCTAACTACTAATGATCATTTGAAAGGAAATATAAGGATATTTCACAGTAATAAATAAATGACAAAATATGGTCGGCGAAACGATGAAAATAAACACACTTCAAAAGTTACAGCCCTTTATCAAGCATATTTTTTGTTCTTTTTTTAACTTTTCTCACTTTACAAATAAACTATAATCATTTCTCAGTGGGTAGACTTACCAAATTTTCTACCTATATACTTTTACTAGAATATAATGAAGTCCTTATTTTCACTTCGCGAATCAGTATAAATTTAAAATTAGCTGCTAGTTTATATGCTGAGTAAAAAGAAGTTATACTCAGCATATCTGCCGCGCGCAGAATACCTGTTGAATAGTTTTAACGTTAGTAACGGTTCTAGTGAAACCAGCCGATTAAACTGCCCACTATTTCACTGCCTACCTTTGACGGTTCATATGGCCACTGGCTCGAGTTCCGCGACACGTTAAAAACGTTTTTGGTACATAATTCTAAATGAATCAGAAAATACCTAAAGTCTAAAGTAATTACCTAAAGTCTTCATTAAAGTCTGTCGAATTCTCTTCATATAATTATCACGTAGCCTGGGAGTTATTATTGAATAGATATGATAATAACAGATTTTTAGTGCACGATCACGTTAAAGTGTTATTTTAATAAATACGTTGTCCAATGAGTCCCCAGTCCCAATCAATTTTGATTAGTGTTTTTATACAAAAAATGAAATCAAAATGATTTCTAGACTAAATGACTTGAATGACGGACACATGAGTTAGTTTGAATTCGGGTCTGGATTTTTACAGACTCGCAGGGCTGTTATTAATAACACAAATAATACGCAAACGTTACAGCGGATCCAATGTAATTTCAGTAGTACCTTAGACTCACAGTTACGTTCGAGTTCGTACGTTACAGTTAAGTACGAACTCGAAGAGATTCCTAACATCAGAGATACGCGGACTGAGGAAGAGCGTGCATGTGAAGAACACTTCCTTCGCACTACTACGCGCAATAGCGAAGGCAGGTACATTGTTCGCATACCTGATACTCTAGGTGAATCATATACGCAAGCAGAACACCGACTTTAAGCATTAGAAAACGTCTGCAGCGCTCGCCTGATGATAAATACGGTAATTTTATACAGGAATATTTAGACCTAGGCCCTATGAATCTTGTTACTACCACCGGTTTTTGCCTTGTCCCTCGACTTTGTTAATTTATTTTTATATGATGAATGGCTTCTAGCATAATATATTGATTTTTAGTGAAACTATAGTATATTTAAATACATCTTTAAATTGTCTTTTTGTTCTTAATTTACTAAATATAAAACTTATGATTTTTTTTTAATATTGAAGACCATCAAATTTAGCTGTCCCCTTTCCAACTAGAGTCAGAAAACATTTGATTTTTTAAAAAAGTCGCGCATTGGGAGTGGTTTATAAATATAATTTGAATTCATTAAAGTCAATTTATCACTTACAAGTTTCAATAATATTGTTTGTTACATATTTTATTTTAAGAATAAATATAAAATAAAGTCCAAAATATTAGCCTACCGGAACATTCCGTATTGTGACCGCTCGTTTTTGCAAAAAATCGTTTTAATCGAGGAAAGTATTCGGCACGAAATGGCAACACAACAATCGTCTTTCATCGAGAGACGCCATTTTGCTTTCAGTATTAATACTTATTGTGACCAGCGCGGACGTATTGTTGAAGTGTTCAGTGTTTCAATTTCTTCGCTCAGGTATGTGACCAAGTTTTACTATTGTAAATCACTTTTCTTTAATTATTGTTATTGTTGATACATTGTAAGATTTATATATAGTATTTGATACTAAAAAATTAATAGTGCTATGTACGATGAGTAATTTTTAAACGATTTAAAACTATAAGAAGGTAGCATTATGTGACCTCCATTGTGTGATTTATACTACGGTCACATATAACGGAACGCCAAGTCACAACAGGTCGGAATGCATAAAGCTTAATTCATATTGCGAATCCGAAATGACTCATGACCAAATGAATGTACCTACTACTAAAATTTGAAATTATTTAAGTTTTATATCTCAATTTTACAGATTGAAGTTTGCTGAAGACAACTGTCTTCAGCAAACTTCATTAGAACTTCATTAGAACATTAGGTAAGATTTTCTTAACTTAAAATAAGTATTTTGTTCCTAAAGATAATACTATAGGTATTATTGCATTATAATGAGACCCGCGTATCTGAGTAAGTTGATAATACGAACCTTGTAGGCAACTAGGTACCTAAGCAGCACTTGCTCGTAAAGTGTATTTATTACCTATATAAATTCAAATTGTCCTAAGCTGTTTACATATACATAAAATGAGGTTATGTTTGGCTCTGTTATAAATTCTAAAAGTTACTTTCGGCTTATTTAGGGGTACCAAGTATTTGAACATCGCTCTCTTGTTTTAGAAACTACTTACGACTACAGCTACGATGACACTGTTTTATATTCAAATTATTATCATTAAAATAATGTGTTATTTCATGACATAGTAGGTATAGTCATAAAGTTTTTCCTCACTTCCAAGCAAAAAATAGTTAGGTATTGTAAATAATGCAAGACTCCCTGATTATTGTTGACAATTTATCTGACTACAACTACAATTCTCAAACAAAGCCTAGATAGGACAGGGCTTCATGATGAGAAAAGAAGAAGACCTTATAGAACTTGTAGTAATATTTAACACTTTTAGGTATTACAATGCCGCTTACTGGCGCGGAGAAAACTAGAAGATACAGAGAAAAATTAAAAAATGAACGCCCGGATGAATATGCTGCTCAATGCAAAAGAAACTTAGATCGACTGAAATCGAAAAAAAAAAAAAATACAGAGATGTCATCAGAAGAAGCCGAGTTGCAAAGAAAAAAATGGCGTGAAGAAAAAAGAAAACATTGTGCTAAGATAAAAAAGATAAAAAGTATAACCAAATGTACAAATGAGCCAGAAAACCCCATTGATGGTTCAGATTTAATAACTTTAAACAGATTCCGGCGAAAGTGTCGATTTTTACTAAAAAAGTGCCGATATCTCCAACAATGTACAGATAAACTGAAAACACAAAAAGAAAAATACAAGAAACGTCTGTATCGCCTTAAAATTAAAGATATGAAGGAAATTAATGACTTGAATCTAACAATTACTAAAATGCGTGCTAGAGAAGAAGTGTTAGAATCGACATTGCAAAAAACATATCGAGGTACTAAATCTCAAAATGATAAAAAGATTCTTAAAAAAATAGTAGACAATTCAACAAACAAAACGGTCGTTACTAAAATGCTGGGATTGATTGGCAAAGCAAGGGTACAAAAAAGGAAAAGAAATCAAATAAATGTTTATGAAATAACACAATTTTATCTACGAGATGACGTGAGTCGGATTACATCAGGGAGAAAAGAAACAAGGACACAACACAAAGAGAAAAAGCAGATAAGGTACCTGATGGATACGCTGGTCGAAAGCTACAAAAAATATAAAGATGGCGGTGGGCGATATGGCTTAACGTCTTTCTTCAATCATAAACCATTTTATGTGTTATCACCTCACCTTAATGCAAGAGACACATGTCTTTGCATCAAACATAGTAACCTAGAATTTCTACATTCTGCTATAAGACGATGTGGAGCGCTGAAGATGGGAATGAGACAGGTTTTGAGTAACGTAGCTTGTGACACAAAAAGCTATACTTGTATGTATGACAAATGTGAATCATGCAAAGATAAAAAACTGAATTTCGAGAGTTCTGAAAACAGTAAAACGGACGATTCTAATATTGTATCCTGGCTTCGTTGGGAACGTCAAGATCACACCTATTCAAAAAAAGAAGGAATTGAAACCAAACAAATTAAAACAAAAAGGACTAAAAAGATAACTAAATCAGGGACATTAGAGGATCTGAAAAAATTTTTTAATGAAGAACTGCATAATTTCAAAAAACATTACTATAACATGCAACAACAGCAAAGCCAATATCGGAAAGCCATTTCACAATTAAAAGACAACGAAGTAGTTTTGGTCTGTGATTTCTCCGAAAGTTATGAAGCTAAGTTAGCCAGTGAAATACAAGCTATGCACTTCGGGGCGTCAAAACACCAGATAACTTTGCATACTGGCATGGTATATTGGCATAACAAATCACAATCATTTTGTACCCTTGCTGAAAGTAATAATCATCAACCTCCAGCAATCTGGGCTCATTTGACTCCAATCATTCAATTAATTAAAGAAGAAACTCCAAATCTAGATGTCATACATTTTTTTACTGATGGACCGTCTTCTCAATACAGACAAAAGAATAACTTTTTTTTGTTTGCCTACTTTGCTAAAAAACTGCAACTCAATTTTGCTACTTGGTCTTTTTTTGAGTCAGGCCATGGTAAAAGTGTGGCTGACGGAATCGGGGGCAGCGTCAAGCGCACTTTGGACAGAAAGGTTTGCCAAGGAGTTGACGTCACTGATGCCAAGGATGCCTATGATATTTTGAAACAATGCCTCAAGGTCACGAAGGTTTTTCTAGTTCCAGACAGTGCCATAACTGCCATAACTCATATTTTGCCTAGAAATATACAACCATTAAAAGGAACCCTGCAAGTACATCAAATTATGACCCACGATGAAAATATTATAAAATTCAGAGATGTCAGCTGCTTTTGTGAACCTCTTCGAGGACGCTGCGCCTGCTTTCAGCCGCAAATCCACTCAGTCGTTTCCAAAACTAACAGAGGTGGTGACAGAATCCAGCGAGTACAATCTTTGGCAAAACCACCTGAACTAGCACAACCCGAATGCCAAGTATTTGATGACATTTCATTACAGCATGTCAACAATCAAATTAAACATAAAGGAATCATAGACTCATTAGAAGGTGGCTCGCTGGACTCGGCTTTGCCAGATTTAGTAGGGACATTTGATATTTCAGATATGGAATCTCTGAAAAGTCTTGATGTTAATATAAACAATTCAGAAGGACCTGTAGAGCTTATGGATATTAATGTTATGCCAATTATTTTTGCACCGGTACCCAAGAGCACAGTCAGACAAACACCTGGAAAAGAAAATAAAACCATAAAAAAGACTTTTACTATATGCCAAAAATGTAAAGCTTCGGTTGTAGGTCGGAAAGCAAATTGCATGTCATGTAAGAAAAATTACTGTGAGGAATGCACCGCCGGTCCTCAAAAATGGGATTATCTTTGTGACATATGCTTGGAAGGAGGTAGTCTAGCTGGTGTAATTCTATACGTAATTATTTTTATAGTTCTTGTTTATGTACTAAATTAACAATAGTGTTTTTCTTTCAGATTAAAATTCTGATTTACGAGGATAACAGAACGTCAACATGGTAATTTACGCTGATATAGATAAGGTGCTCAACTTCGACGATTTTATGGACTTCTACATTTATGACCTAAAATGGCCTTGGACCGAGACACATTTTATTATCAATGAATATTGCTATGAGTGCGGTCAATACGTAAACCGATCTTCAAGAATTGGACACTTTTCTGTGATAATGACTCGCATACATGTAAAAAAAATATTACTTAGTTCATATTTTTGGTGTAATTATTGTCATTACTCCGTATATGATCATTACACCACTGATGAGTGTATTTTATGTGCAAATTAAATACATACTTAAAAGTGGGTTATGGTCTAAAAATATTTTTAAATTCTTTACCAAAGTAAAATTCAAGTCATTAAGTTACTTACGTACATTACCTCAATAATATTATTATATTTTAAGGTTTTTTGATGAGGCTATTATTACCTATACTTATTATTATCATATCATAAAAATATAATTAATATATATAATAATTATCTAAAAACTGAAACTCGATGATAACTAAAAGGTGCAATTTAATCAAGCATTATGAAAAACAGTAGAAACATCAGTCTTACTGTTTTTCATAATGCTTAAATTAAATTCAGAGTTTCAGTTTTTAGATAAGTATTATGTTAATTATATTGCTCATTGATTTTCTAAGGTTTCGTTTTTAGTTTGTGATATTTGTGATTATGTATGAATGAATACTTACTCTTTAATTGACACAAAAGGAATATTATTGTCTTGTTTTCTAATTTTGATCTTGATTTGTTATGACTTTATATAACTTTATTTGAATAACGCGGCGGCGTTAGGTCTACTTTTATTACTTAATTTTGTAATAAGTACGTATAATATTATAGTAGTAATATTATAGTGATCTCAAATATTTTTATATTGTATGTAGTAAGGTGAAAATATAATAATATTTAAAATAATTGTATTATTTCCTTTATTAGTCTTAAAAATATAAAAAAAACAGTGATCCACGGTTGTCGGGAATTGTTTTAAGGTCACGCAATGGAGGAGGGAGGTCGTTCCAGCACCGTGAGGCAGCGAACTTGAAAGATCCACGGAATGCTCTAGTGTGATGCCTCGGCGTCATGAAAATACTTTTGCAGGTTCTCATAGGATACCTATTGCAATCCCGAGCCCACGTGAGTTTATTGTACAAATAATCTGGTTTTTCTGATTTAATGACGCCTAAAAGCGGAGGTGGAGTTTTCTGCGGGCCTCCATTTTTAATAAGTTGGCGTTATTAAGAAACGGTGTTACATGAGATCGAGGATGACATGAAATTTATCAAGTGGCTTATAGAACACAGCTTCTATAGTGTAAAAGAATTTTTATCGTTTAAGAAAACTGCATGATTAGAATATTAGCACGCCTGTTTTCGGGTAGAATACTGTACCGATCTCATTAAAAATCTCAGAACAAGAAATACTCTTGTACTGAGATTTTTCCGAAAAGTATGGTTGTAAGTTAGTGGAAGAAGTTAAAGCTTTACATTATTTCTTTACACACATGCGTTTTTTATGCACTAAGTGAGAAGGACCTCAGACAATGTCGTTTTGCATAATATCTCCAATTCTCCTTTTTGTTTAATGCATCCAATTAAAAAAAATAGAAATGATCTAGTGACAGTCTATTTGTTTCGGCTTGTTTTGAATGAAGCAGTTTTAAGGTTTTCAAACAAACTAACAATCCAAGAAAACCAGTTTTAAATTTATTTTTAAGAATTGGTTTCATTATCGTTTTTATTTTCAAAATCTGTAAACCTTTTTTAGTTTTTTTGTCTTTTATGGAATTATTTTTTCATACAATTTCTTAAAATATGTTTTGTACTGTTCTATTAATTTGTAAACTTCATTTTTATTTAAACGGTTTAACGCTTTTTTTGTCTAGTGTTAAGGATGTCAAAAATGTTATTAAAAATTTCTATAAGTTTAGCTGTTGGCTCATTTTCTGAAAATATAGGTAATATATATTATTTTTAATATAGGTAGTAGGTATAGCTTGAGCGTACGCGACGCTGTTACTAAGCTGTTGAGACGCTTATTTAACGTTCTTTATTTTGTGTCCAAATTTAATATGCCGCCTGGTTAATTTATTTCCTAATTGTATTCCTTTAACATCTTGTAGTTTATACAAGCGTTTAATAAACTTCCAATTCACTTCATTGCCATCCTTAACAAAAAAAATTTTTTGCCACAAATGCATTGCGAACAAATTTTAGCATATGGCAAGCGTCTAACATAAGGACTATTTCGTTTCCTGTAGTAGGATGGGAAAAAACGGTTTTAACGATTTAGGGTCATGAAGTTGGTAGCCCATTATTGGCATCGCTGCAATATTTGTTTGGCTACCATCACAAGTAACTGAGACTACAAAAATACTTGCATTGGAGCATTTTTCTAGAGCCATGTTTTGAATGGTAGCCAACTTAATTGTTGTCAAGCCTATCGAAAGTTCCCAAGTCTTATTAAGACAGACTAGTAATAAAACCAACCAAGGCAGGTGAAGCTAGATTTCGGCAGTCGTTACTTTCGCCGAAACCACAGCCATAATGCTCTTTTCCGTTAAATTTTTGTTGTTGTCGTATTGCCATCTCGTCTAGGACTAAGTTACAAATTATTTTGGTATTTGTACTTTTGGTCTTTTCTTTAAGTACTTCAAATGTTTCATTTTTAATCCCAGGTTCTCCTTTTATTTTTATTGTAGCTGTTTAATAATGTTCTGGGTGTAGTAAACAATTGTTCAAAGATGAATGTAATAGTAATCGTAATTTGTAGTTATAGTAATTTGCTATTAAACGAGGTACAATAAAAGATGGAAAAACAATTACAGTTCAGCTCACTTAGCTATCACACTAGCATGCAAATATCATATTGATTTAATTATTAACTTTAAATACAGGAAATTAAAATCATTATTATTTAGGACTACATCATTATTCATTATTATAATCATTAAAAATATCAGAAAATTAAAACTATGTCATTATTATTATAACAAATTCAATTCAATTCAATTAGTATTAATGAAAAAAAAATGTAACAGTTATTATTATAGTGTTTTGTCAGTCAAATATTCATGGACTGAGTAGTAATATTTATCCACTAAGAGTTTTATCGGGTTCTTTTTAAATAGGTTGAGTGAAGCATCTTTCATATAGTTTGGTAATTTATTATAAATTCTAACAGCCATCAGATACCAGCTACTGCTTTGCATTGTTGTAAGTATATTCGATAACACTAGTCGTTCAGGATATCGTCCCCTGCACTCATTATTCACGTCACAGCTTCGTTTAAAAAGTTTGTCGTTAACTCTTACAAAGAAACATACTTCATAGATCAAAGAAATATACATGGCAATGTTAACAATCCTAAAGTCTGAAAATATGGTTTACAACTTATTTCTACAGATAATTTACATATAGAGCGTACACATTGTATTTGAGTAATGAACGACCTATCGATATCTAAAGGGCGTTCATTACTACTTTGCAATAGCCTGGTATTATCTCATTTATCTTACAGTGATTCGTTTTTGGCCCATGTTTATTTATAAAATCTGTAAAATCCACGCAAAGGGTGCACAATGCATGTGTGCGATTATTGTTTTGATATTCATAAAAGAGATCATATCTCCCCGTATCTGGTCCGTGAGGGTTTACTCAATGTTCCTAACACAATAAAATTAAAACTATTCTTGTTTTCTGCACTCATAATAAGCTCACTGTTAGGTATACTAACCCCTTATTAAGGGACAGGGGGCATCTTTACCTGTTGCCACCAATTAGGCTTTCTTACGCCAGGGGATGTTTTAAGTATGCCTCTGCTAAAATTTGGAATTTTTTACCAACTTTTAGTAAGAAATATCGTAGATGACTTATGCAGGAGCAGTCTCTGGCGCTGGCATCAGGTCTTCCTAGTCATATTTTATAGACATCATGTTATTTTGTACAGTTTATGGGACGGAAATCCCGTCTATGACTGTTTTTGGACAAAAAAGTGGAAAAAAAGTGAATGTTATTAATTCTCAACTGTTATCAGCTAAATTACCTATGCGTTAGTTGGAACATCTTGAAGTGAGTCTTGTGCTCTATTAATGCTTATTATTTTAAAATAAATAATATATTGATTCAGTCCTATTCAAATACTTACCTTGAATATGGCTCAGTTGTTTTTGTGCGTGTTGCGAATCATGTCATCTTATTTTAAAGCTTTGTTTGTTATTTTTTTGGTAGAGGCTATGACAGAATAATAGGAGCAGTGGACTTGCATGTATGCGGCTACTGAGTCATAGACCGTTTTGTCTTTAATATATGTTTTGTATTTTATTTAAATTCACATTGTTGCAGGATCTTAAATATCTATGTAATAAAAAGTAAATTTTTGATATGTTGAAGGTCTAAATAATAATCTCTAGATAACATTTAAAGTAATACGGTTTGCTATTTTTATGTTTTTACGAAAGACAAATAAAGAATTTTATTATTATTATTATTTTCTACTGAACATATTTATAGGCTGCTGGCAAATAAAAAATAAGCGACAGAGCAAACTTTTATATTACCAGTGGGAATTTACTATATCCTTTCTTTTTCTTATAAGACTTTTGGAATTCAGATATTAAAGTACACTTTCATCATTAAGATTTAATTGAATTTCTTCTACCTCGCTTATATAACTTAAAAAAAAGTAATTTTATAAAAAAGTGGCACGATTAAAATCAAAAAAGTGCTTTACTAGAATCATATAATATATATGTATATAATATTATATTTTTTTACCAAATATGAACTAAAATACCTATAACTATTTTATTAGAATGTTAATTGTTTTACACCAATTTTAATTCTAAGATATTTAAATTTGTCTTTAGGTAGAGCTTTAGTAAATATATCTGCACATTGTTCACATAAAATCCCAAATATTAGAAACAATTT